CCCGCACTGCTCTGGCAGCAGCCGCCTTCCTTTGCAGGGCCGTGCTGGGCATCCTCAGGGCTGATCCTGGGTGCGCTCTGCTCGACCCACCCGTGCTGAGGACCCTGGGCCTCGAGGTCTCCTGGCACACGCCAGAGTTGGCTTCCTCAGTTCATTTTCTCAATGACCTGAGCACCTTTGCCGTGCAGGGCTGCAGGGGTGAAAAGGCAAACGTATTAACCTCAGCTCTTCCCCACCGTGCCCTCCTCAGCATAATTAATGCCTCACAAGTCACTAACCACAACAGTTCAAATTTCTTTCTTGCCATTATAGCATTATAAATCATTCGATCTAGCGTGTGCTTGTAAAGCTTGACAGAGAACTCCATAGACTGGCCTCTTCCAGCCTGCTGTGGGTGCTGCCTTCAGTCCCCAAATACTAGTTTGTAGAGAAGGAGAGGTTATATAAAACCTTTAATGGCTTTCAGTACCAAATTAAATGTGAAATTTGTGTTGAACTCTACCACCCATTTATAGTAATGATGCTTAATGTTATCGTGAGATAACCAAGTACTTTAGATAGTAGGTGCCAATTGAGTCTCGTTTAGGAAGTCCTCCAAGGGTTCTTGGGTATTACATGCTGGGAAGGTGATTAAAACTTTGCCAGGTTAAATGAGAAGAATATTTCTGGCTTCCCCCTCTCCCCTTAATTTCAGTCTTTTATAGTTTCCATCTCCAAGGCTATATTTTGTCATAATTGTTTGTTATCAGTGGATATTTTCCAGGACAGCAAAGATACCTAAATCCAAAGTCCCCAGCAGAGCAAATGGATTGGTCTTAGTTTAAGGAGCGTTAGGTTAATCTGTCTCAAAGGACACCCTTTGTAAGAAGTGAAATGCTGGGTATTTCCTGCCGATAGAGAAGGACATGCCAAGCTTCTGAGGGAACAGACTTTGGAAGCAGTGAGCGAATATCCAGCTAGGCAAATTTTCTTGTTCCTTGGTTATCTCCCCATGAAATTCTCTTGCACTGGACATTTCTAGATCAGCCTGAGAAAGGGGAAAGACGCCACTTTTTGAGTTTGAGCTCTTCAGAGTTTGGAGCAGATTACAGGGCAATTTTGGTTTGTTATGCCTGAGTTTCCTCGTCTGCCATCACATGTCTCTGGGTGAATTGCATACCCATTTTGCTGTAATGAATTCATCTTAATTGTATGAGTGCGACAGAGAGTATTTAATTGTGGTCTTTGTTCTCCTAGACACGTAGGAGACAGTTACAGCAAATACGTACGTGCCACAGAAAGGCAGCCAGCAGGATCTGTGCTGTCTTTCACCGCGACCTGCTGCTGAGAGCATGGTAAGGGTGTCTGAGGAGTGCTCTGGATTAGTATGTGCAGCCTCTCGGACCTTTCTTGGCCACTTTCCAAGCCCTGGGATTTCCCAGAACTGCTCGAGCAGACACTGCTCCTCTGGCAGCACCTGCATTTTGCACCATTCCTTGCCATAGTTCCCGTCCACAGGGCAGATGCAAAAGGTTGACATGAAAAGTGCTGTAGATTCTCGCTGGTGTTGTAATTACGACTAAAATATTATCATTGCACAACACTCGTAGTTCACTAGCAAACCAAGAAATACTCTGAATATTAGAATTAGGGCTACTGGCCATTTACCTTTGCATTTAGATGCAGAGCACTGTAGTTTCCTGCCTCAGAAATGGCTGCGGAACTCGTGGTGGTTGCTGCTGCTCGGGAGTTCAGCCGCTCCACTGGGACAAGCCAACGTGGCTCTGTGCATACAAACAGACCTTCCCCAGTGTAAATCAGCAGCCCACTTCCCTCGCTGTCAGAAGACAGTCTGAGCCTATATGTAAAGTCAATGCATGGTTGTCTAAAACCAGTTTATATTGTTGGGAAGCCAGCAAGGTAGACAGATTGGTGGGTAAGCAATGGAGTGTAATAGCCCTGAGAAAACTGCTTTGTAAAGAGCTTTGATTCCTTGCCGGATAAAGCTGTATAATGTTGCCATCTTTCCTGTACCTCTCTGGAGTATGGCACTTCACACACACTAAGTGTGCTACTTTGTCATCTGGACTGATATCTGCTCTAGTTCTCCTGGGCTTTGGAGCCTACTTGTGGAAAGTATGATGATTTCAAACAAAGTTTTAGGTACAAGGTAACAACAAAAGTATAGATTTCTGAAAGCACCTTGCAATGTTTCTTGAGAAGTTGCTTTTTGAGCTAGGCCGATAACCCATTTTGCCTCAGAGATGCTTTTCTTTTTTTCTCCTTGATGTTGAATTGCCTGTATCATGCACCATTAAATCTGACACGGTTTATCTGCAGGTTGGCTGTGCAGAAAAGGAGAAAGTCCAGCATGAGCTTGACAATATCTGAGCAAAGCCAGTGGCAGGATGATGGTGCTTCTGTCTCCAGTTCAGTTCTTCCCACTGCACAGTGAGCTTTGGTTCCTCAGCAGCACACAGTGCTTTTCTAAAGGGCTGAGTGTTACACTAGAAATATTATTACAAAGGGCACCCATGTAAAGCTGGTGCAGCACAGAAGTCCACGGAGAAAATGATTCCATCATGATTTGATGGAGGAGAGGGGGAAGAATTTTATCTTCACACTGCACAGTGGTCAGGAACCCGGTATGCATTCGCGAATCTCATCTTCCCAAATGCATTTCCTCTGTAAAGTTTATATGTAACTTCAAGCACTTGCGTTTCTCCTCTTTGTACTGGCAAATATGATTTTTGTGAGGTTTTCCAAAGCCATTGGGAACAATTCATGAGCCTAAATGACTAACGATCTGGTCTCTTCCTGGTGTTTCTGTTCCTGGAAGACAGAACTCACCATGAGAAGAGCAGATGTCACTTTATTTTGGTGCAATAAACAGCAAAGAGGAAAACGAGGAGCTAGGAAAACAGAAATAGAGAAGCAAATGCCAAGAAATACGGCGTTTCCAGACTAATGAGGTTTTGATGGCCAGTGGCCGCAGAATGTGCAAGTCCTCAGTCCTCTGTCCTCTAGCCGGGCGTTCGGCTCTCGCTGCTGCTCGTGCTCAGGCCAGGCTGGGTACAGAAAACCTGGCAGCCCGCAACCCTTCTTTTCCCATCTGCATAATCTCCCCTTCACTTCTATGCCCGTGGTTGTTTTCATCACTGCAAGAATTATAATGTTTCTCTTTGAAATACGACCTGGCAGCTAATCCTTGCTATTACCGAGCGCCTCTCTGCTCCTGATGTCAGCAGGAGTCCTGCATCCTCATCACTCCTCCGGCTAAGCTCTGCGTTCCTGTCTGGCAGAATCACCAACAAACACCTTCCCTAATGGATCTGGAGATTTGCTATTTTCTCTACTGAAATCTTGGGTTGCTGAGAGGAGGTTTTGGACCAGACCCACCAAAGTTAGTAAGCACCTATTTTTCTCCCTGCTTTCTGTAGATAGAAAGGCATTTCCATGGAAAAGGCAATTAAATAGCTTTGCACCCTCATCCAGACTAGACAGATGGCAGAGGGCTTCAGAAACACCCTGGCTGTGCCACTGTACCATAACCCTGCATATGCACAGAGTAATGTAGCCTGCTATCTGCACGTTACTGAGGAACAGGGCAAAGAGGAAAGCGTGGTTTGCCCAAAGCAACCATGACACTACAAGGTGTGGGATCCAGCTCACTCAAACACAAGCACAGTGTTTTAATGTCATGATTAAATTTCCCCTTGGTGCACAGTCTGACACATCTTTTCTTCCACTTACTGTACGCAAGAACTGACCTTTTATCATCTGTGGTTGTAAATCAGAAGGTAGTGTTAAATGCTCAGGGTGGTTCTCCATGAAGTGATTGTTTCACTGCTATGCAAGCTGTGCTCTAATTAGCTCCATCCATCCAAATGCACGTACCGTTTTGATGAAATGAATACTTTTGTCAGTTTTCATTGCTGCAGCATTCACTCAGAATATGCTGGCTTCTGTAATATGTTAGGGATCTTTTAAAAATTTTAGTGGGCATTTATGTATGCATTTATGAATGCACACATGTAAATACATGTACAGAAAAAATAAGATAATGCAATTGCAATTTTCAGGTAAAACATATAGAAGATTTTGATAGGCATTTGAAAATCGATTTTTACAAAATATTCAGAAAATACTGGTTTAACAGGGATTTAAAAAAAAATCCCCTGCTGGGAATTGATAGACGATACAAACTACAAATGGGTTTGTTTGAAAACAGCATCTCAGGGTTGTGCAGGTGAAACATTATTAAAAATCCCCAAAAAAACAGGAACAAATTAAAATATTAGGAGATCTAATGTACAACAAATAGCAGTGGCAACTCTCATCTGTGCTTTGCTATGTTCTTTTAACAATGTGGTGCCATCGCCTTAGATCACAGCACATAGTTGTTTTTTCTCTTTTCGCTATTTACTGAGACAGATGTTCCGGGATGGTGGCTCCTTTGGGCAAGCAGAATCCCCCAAGCCCTGGTGATTTCTGAAGGAGGCTGTCGCTGGTGCCTCTCACTTGTGTTATCCCCCCGAGCCCCTTGTTTCTGTGGTGTCCTACACCACTAACATCCATTGCTGGGATTCTGCACAGACACATTTTAAGAGGCAGGGAGATCATAATGAAATATTTGCTGTTCTTCGTGAAACATCTGGCAGGGCTCTGGGAAGATGAGGGAATTAGCAACAGTTGCCATTTGTGTGCGGTATCTAACATTTTTCGGGAGCCATAATGGGGTGCTCAGCATATGCAATTCACCTACAGAGGAGGTGAAGATGAGCAAGGCTTTGGACTCGGTTCCATATGGTGATAAAGATATCACGGATCAGAATGTTTTGAGTGCGAGTGTTCAGATTTATTTACATATAATTACATCTAAGGAAGATTTAGGATCAGGGCAGAGGCAGAAGTTTTACCCTGGATATATTACCAGTTATCTCTGATCACACATACCTCATCAGCTGTTTCTGCCGTAAGCCCCACTTTAATTTGCTATAAAGGCAAGATGGATTTCTCAGACCTTGCCTTCTCTGCCTTTAATTCTTGTGCATGTAGATAAACTATTGACTAATCTCATTTGCTCTCACCAGGAAAGGATGACAGAACAAAAGCAACATGATAGTCTCGTAGCTTTTTACCCTACCAGAAGTTTCTTAGACCAACTGAAATTATCATACCTAGACTGAGCTGCATAATGCTTTGGGGGGGAGTAGGATTTAGTGGATTTATTTTGTATTGGTTCCAGCAGGAACAGAGGACCTAGCAGATATGAAGTATCTTTGAGATGCTGCCAGACTGACCGGTGGCCCCTGGACCTCTCAGTGTTTTGACATCATGCTGGACTTAAGTTCTAGTCAACTCCCCATTGTTTGCAAAAGGCCCCCAAAACTTTCTTCTTCTGTGACCCTTAAGAAAATTTTTTCCTAGGACATTCTTTAAAAGCAGGAATCTCTACCTGATGCAACACCCTTGTGCTTCTCAGGGCTCTCCAGTACCTTTATCATCCACTTAATCAGATTTCAGGCCTTTTAGTCACAGTCACTGTTTTCCCATTTGAAGACACATGAGTGTGAAAGCAGAGAGACCTGTGCAGAGGCATTTCTGAAACAGTCATATATATATATATATATTTAGTGCAATATATAGCAGTTTACTTTAGAAGGCACAAGAATGAGGTAACTTCGTGTGGAATGGGAGTATATGCTTAATTCCCTAATGGGAATCTTATCTTCTCTTTTGCCATATAGTTTCGGTTGTAGCTGCTAGTTTAAGCTCTCAAATAGCTACTGATAACATTTTATTTTCTAGACAACCATTTGTGCCTGCCAGTTGGCTCCCTAATCTATCTCAAGCCCTATTCATAGGTTCAAAATCCCCCTTCAGGTGACCTGCCCCTTTGTCAACACTTAGCTGAAGTCTAGACTCTAAGAGCTGATTTGCCCTGTCAGTAGCCACCTCTGCCCAAGATTCCTTCCTCCTGAATGCAGCAGCGTTAAGGATCAGTGATCATCTATTGCTACCTCTCTGCTTGCCAGGGGACTATCTCCTGAGACCGCCCGAGTCTTGTAATGAAAACTGTGCTCTGAATACAGAGCAAACCGTGTAGTTGTGTGGGTGTAGGTACATAAGGTCTGACTGTATGTGTATGCATATATGTACAGTTGTCTGGCATAAGACACAAATAAAGGATGATAGTCTGCTTTTTCTATGTGGATAGACATATATATATATACATATTTGCATGTATATACACACATACCCATATGTATCATAATAGAGAGTGAATCATCAGAATGGTTATCAGCTAAAATATATTTTCACACACACACAAACTTGTAACCAAGAGGCTTCTTTTCTCCTCCACTGCACATAGTGGTTGCAGTTTAGCCTTTTGCAGTAGTTGTTAATGCCGTCAGGTAGTTAGATGTCCACCCGACATCTGGTGTGCAAGCAAATATTTGCACGCACAGTTATTTGGCCCAGAGAATGCCCTGAGCATAAAATAGGTATGCAACTCAAACACAGTCTCTGAAAGTCTTGGCCATTTTAAAACATTTTGCTTTCAAAAAACCCAAATCCTTTAAGTTGCTTGGAGGCACTAAGGGATTTATGTATGGAATTTGGACTTTTGAAATTAAATATATAGAACCAATTGCAAAACTTGGATGTAGTCAGTGGAATGATATAGATCAGCACCAAGGGATGTGAGGACCCAGGAGAACCTGCATATGCCTTTCCCTTTCTTAACCCCAGCAGTGCAAACATGCAGGATAGGAGCAAAAGTTGTTCCATACTTTTTCCCTCTGCCAAAGGATGCCAACGTCTCAATTACTGGCCGCCCCCAAAAGCAATTAGAAGTCCAATAATCATCCTCTACTGCTGTGGCTGAACTGCTAAGTATCAACAATAACATGATTTTCATTTTCAGAAGAAATTGCTTGGGGTAGAAATATTGTGAGAAAGGCTTCCAAACAGGTTCCCAATCATATTTGCAGCAATTCTCACATTATTCAATATACTGTATATATAATATTGGCCTTCCAATAGAGGGGGACTTGATTGCTTGTTTTTCCATAGGTAGCTTAAGCTAAATCAAAATGTTACCAGTTTTGGATGCATCATTTCTGTCTCTTGGAGTGAAATGCAAGCCACTCCCTGGTAGGTGGATATTCTCTCTCTCTATCCTTCATTTCCTGCATTTATGTCCCATTCTTAATGAATGTTGCAAGATCAGAATGAGACATATTTAACCCTTTGCTGTTAATTGCTTCACTGGAACTGACTATAAATTCCAGCATGAGGCTGCAAGGTGGCGGAAGTAGCCGAACATAGAGACGAGGTGTCTCACGGGTACTTGCTGAATGAGACTCTCCAGTTGATTTCAACAGCAGAGTGTGTTGGGCTACCTGCTTGCTCGTCCAGAGCTGACGCTAAGTGACATCGTTCCCTTAGATATCAAGTTTTAGTGCAATATATAGCTGCAAAGCGACTTTGCGGGCTGAGTCTGTGAACAGTGTGTGAGTTTATTTTGTGTCTTTCTTATAGGAGTCTCCAGTTTACTTAAAACTTGAGTCGCAGGGCTTGAGCTTCGGCGTCCAGGAGCCTGGCCCAAAGCTCAGGAACACAGTGGTGTGTAGATATAGGCAGGTAGGACTCATGTTTTCTTCAGGGATGTTTCGTGGTGATAAGGAGTTCAAGCAGAAGCCAGGGTTGGATGCCCATTACAGTTGGATAAAACTGTTTGTTCCACCAGCTGTGTGAAGTGGCTGAGGTTGGTTGGTAAGATTGAATTTTAGCAAGTCACATAGTATGTCTGTGGAGATATAGCTCATGTTTTCTTCAGGGATGTTTCGTGTTGATAAGGCGTTCAAGCAGAAACCAGAGTTGGATGCCCGTTACAGATGGATAAGACTGTTCCACCAGCTGTGTGAAGAGGCTGAGGTTGGTTGGTGAAATTGAATTTTAGCAAGTCGTATAGTATGTCTGTGGAGATATACACAGAGGTTGCCAAGCTCAAGCCTACCTTTAGGCTCATTTTTAACTAACTTCTTACTGTAGGCAAATGGGAACTGTAATTTGTACCCTGATTTAGCTTCTCAGTGTGGATGGAGATGCAGTTGCCATATTCATACATCTTTTTAGGCGGCAGATTTACAGCGTTTCGTGGAACGCTCCTTTAGTGTCTTGTCCAAGGCAGCTGCTGCGCTCTGTGGAGGTGGGTGTCATCACAGAACAAGGAGAATTTTCAATTCCATAAATCTGTCCCT